CTTGACGTCATTACTCAAATATGGGCCGGCTTTACATTGAACTCTTGGCAACGTTCCACCCACGTCCCAACCTATCGTCCCCATACAGTCGGCTAGCTGAATCCCCTCTCTTAGCTGTGTGTCTGTGTATTCAACAGGATATCCAGGGGACTTAGAGTAAAGTTGTTGTATATATAAATACATACAATGGCACTATTCTATAGCGCTAAAAACTGAATATATAACATGTCAAGCTATGTGCTTTATCAGAAACAATGCGCAACGTGTTTTGGAAGTAATATGGTCTGTGTTTACATTAGCAAGCATTGCTAACACATTTCAGTTACAATTAAAGGGCCAGGCCCAAATTCAGCACTTTTGTAACAGGGCTGTGTGATGGAAATTCCACACTTAATCACTTTTGGTAAGAAAGTTCTGGTAAGAAAAGAACAAATATACAAGCTTAAACCAAAGTTGTGTTGTTTAATAAAGAGTTATAGCATTTAACAGAATCAATCTTAGTTCCAACTGGAAGGACAGATAACCTGCACCAATGTGTACTAAAGAAATCTGATCCCGTTACACAGAAATGCAATGTCATTTATACAGAGGAGCAGGAAACAAAAGGGACATAAAACAGGTAACATCCATATGATAATTTGCCTGACAATTGTCCAGTGGCACCCTCCTGTCTGTCCAGTTTAAGAGAACAGAAGGTTGCCAGTATTTTGTATTAGAGTAGTGATAAAGCCTGGGAATGACAGGCCTAGTTTATTAGGACTGATACATTCAAAATGCGAGAAAATCAAGAGAAAGAAGTTATATATTTGTAAATAGTATTTGTTGTAAGTAGCTACAAGCTAGCTTGATTCTGTAGTAAACATTGACCTACAGCTAACGGAAAGGTATCTAATTCAAATGTTATATGTAGTGTCTCAATAACAAAATACATTTTCAAACTTAACTTTGATCCTTGTTGTTAATTATATTTGTTATTGGTGAAAGATAATTATAATTATGTTATTAATTATATATATTTACAAAGAGAAATGTGAACAGATTATTTCACCAAAAAGCTTGCTAAATGGTTTTTATGAAGAAAATGTATTATTTAAAGTGGACCTATCATGCTATATGTAGATAACCCAATTTGTGTTATTTGAGACTGAAGGGGATGTTGCATTGTTTTTGTTGCTTTCATTGTAGTGTTATATATATCTTAAATGTAATTTCTGTGAACTTCCTGTTTCATTTGTACGTTTTTATTTTTGAAGGCGAGTTAACGCGGCTGACAGGAAGTGGTTGTAGCTTTTAGAAACAACGGGACGGAGAAAGTAATATCTTCTATGTAACGGCGGAGAAAGAGAAGAATGGACTGTATGTTTAAATGTTAACACCCCCCGAAGAGGCTCAAGCTCTTACGTTGGGTCTGGAGTTTGAATACATTCTAGTTCATCATTAAAGCCTACGACCATTATTCGGAGGGAAATGCTACACTATATTTGAATAATATATTGTAGGGCCATATATACAAAACATGTCTGCGAAGTTCTTTCTTCAAAATACCAAACAGATCATGCATTTTAGCCATGCCTCATTTCGCTCTATTTGCTCTTTTTTAGCCCTGTTTTTGCAAGGGCTGAATCTGAGAAGTCTTCTTTGCTGCTTTTGTGGCAGACTACAGCACCACCTACAGGCCTGGCATATGTACTACAGCGTCTCCAGCGCTTTCGAACGGCAATGGCCGTGGCTGTCTCCTCCTGATAGGTGGAGAGTTGCCCATATAGGCGGAGCTCCTCGTTCCTGACGTCAGAGAATTTTCAAATCTGTATCAGTCTGTATTCCATTGCAGCCCCGTTTTTAGAGATTTGGGTATGGAGGAAAAGAGAGAGGGTTGTTGGTGAGTTCCCTGACACACCGGGGACACATATTTATGTATAAAAGACGTACAAAAGTGCATTTTCCATGATAGGTTCACTTTAACAAACGGGAGCTTGCCAAATATAATAAAAGTAATACAACTATTAATTTACTATTGGCCCAAAAAAGATTGGACGATATGAGATATAAGAATAATTGTAAAAATAAACTAATAATACAATTTAACTTGTCATCTGGTCTGTGATTGGCTCTCATCAAGCATATTATAATACACAACGTTAACACCTTGTAGCCATTAGAGGAAGTGTGACTTTAGTTTGAACAGAAAACACAAGACACATTTTTTAAGCACCTCAGCAGACTTTTATTGTGAAATGCTGGGAGAGCTGTGTGTGACAGTGCCCCCTGCCGCAGCTCAATCCTGGATGACGCTCTCTGTGGAGCTTACCACTACTCCATCCACCAACTCCTCTGTCACCGTGACGTATTTGGTGACAGTCTTGGAGGTACTGACAGACTCGGAGACAGAACCCGAGGCAGAACCCGAGGCAGAACCCGAGCCATAGCCAGAACCGGAAACAGAACTTGATTTGGCGGAGGACATGGTGGAGGAGGAGGAGGAGGAGGAGACGCTGCAGGAGAGAGAACAATTTTGAGCCGGTACTTTTATCCTTTAGATCTTTAATCAACTGTAAGAATTCTTATTTGGTTAAAGTGCAGAAAGGATTTGCGGTTCTAAAGTAAAATAAAATAAAAACTATGCACGTTCCCAAATATGTTTCATGAACTTGTTTTTACGTCCTTTACGACATTTCTGAGCTAGTGGTCAGATGTCTGTTAAAATAGTTAATTCTTACCCGCCGCCGACGCCCTCTCCGTCCAGCAGCCTCCTGTACTCGGCGATCTCCATCTCCAGGCGGGTCTTGATGTCCAGCAGCATCTGGTACTCCACTCCCTGCCTCTCCAGGTCAGCCCTGAGCTGCATGAGCTGCTCCTCCATGCTGCTCACCTGGCTCTGGCAGCCTGACAGCTTCATGGAATAGCGGTTCTGAGTCTCAGCCAGCGTGTTCTCCAGTGAGGATTTCTGGAGAAGCACAGAGAAACACTTGGTTAATTTGTCAACCCACAGGAGGAGATACAAAACATAGAGGATGTTACATTACAAAGAAAGAAAGAATATCAGTGATGTGACGCTCACCATGCTGAGCTGTGACTGCAGCTCGATCTCCAGCGCCTGCATCATGCGCTTCAGGTCCGTGAGCTCCGATTTGGACGTGTTGACGACTTCGATGCTTTGAGTCACTTCTCTCTGTAGTGACTCTGTCTGTATGCAAACCCAATTTATTAGTACGAATGTGTGATTTATTTTGCCATTGATCGGTCAAAGAAATATTTTGTACTGAATATAGCCTGAACTAATACTAATGTCACTCATAAGAACCACCATCAGCTTTAGCTTTTGGGCGCCATAAAACAAAAACATACATTTTTTGTAATTTACAATAATTTGCTAATTTGACTAAACTTTGTGTTGAAATAATGTTAGCAAGCTAATAAAATATAGCCGACTTCTGTTTCAACTAGTACTAGTAGTGGCACCATTTAAATACCTCACTCAGTTTTGCTTTTGGTAATTTAAAAGTTAAATGTTACAAGAACAGATGTTTTAAAATGAAGATAACAGTTTTTTTATATTTGGACACTCGCCAAAAGTTAGCTGCATGCTAACCAACCCTAGTCTCCCCATCCACTCATCTCACCATCGGTTAGTGAAAAAATAATCCCTTCCTTACCTTTCCTTTAAACCACTCCTCCAGTCCTTTGCGGTTTTTGGCGGCATCGGCTTCGTACTGCTCCCTCATCTCCTCCATTATCTTATTGAGGTCCACACCTGGGCCCGCGTCCACCTCTACATTCACCTGGCCACTCAAGTTTTGTCTCATTGCTAGGAGCTCCTGCAGGGAGAGGAGAGGAGAAAACAGGAAACAAGCAGATAAGAGTGGTGCTGCAAGACGTATTTTTGGCCCTGAAGTGCCAGTTCCCTACACAAAAAGACAATTTAGAAACGTGTTAGCAACTGTCTGAGTGCTCACGGACCTCTTCATGGTTCTTCCTGAGGAATATCAGCTCCTCTCTCAGACCCTCGATCTGCATCTCCAGGTCGGACCGGCTCATGGTCAGCTCGTCCAGGACTCTCCTCAGGCCAGCGATGTCCGCCTCCACCGACTGACGCATGGACAGCTCATTCTCATACCTTCACGAGGAAAATGCTTTTTAATTTATGAATCTTTTCCTATCCAAAAATGTACCTCTTATTTGCTTTAAGGGGCCGTATAATGCTAATTTCATGTGTGTGGGAGAGAAACTTCCTCTGGAGGGAACTTTGAATTTGTAGCCTTTGCAGACCATATAAATGCACACCATCCTAGAACACACTACAGGAAGGAGAAAGCCCCAAAAATGCATAATAGGGCCTCTTTGAGTTGTTTTTGAATGCTCTGAAAACGTATTCTAAGCTTATGAAGGGGGAAGAATAACTTCCCAATACTGGAAATTGGGAACTTTCAAGAAAAAACTTGGATGCACCAATTGCCTTTTGAAGCAGTATGCAATTAGTACAAGAGTGACGTTTTATTTTATTAATGAATTCACGTACTTGAGCCTGAAGTCGTCGGCAGCCAGCTTGGCGTTGTCAATGGAGAGGTAAATGCTACCATTAATTGAGGTGGCATCTAGGATCTAGAAGATAAGAAAAAACAGAAGAAAGAAATGTGGTTTTAAATGGATTGGACGGCATGTTGCTCAGCAGATAGAGTTGCTGTCCACCAATAAGAGAGTCAGTGGTTAGATCCCTGGGCCCTGCAGCAACATGTCAAACCCCAAATTGCTCCCAATGGCAACAGTGTGTGAGAATCAGGGAATGCTATGACATATTTAGATAACAATTCTGCATTTATGTTGAAGTAACTTAATACCATCATGTCATTTTACTACTACTTGACCCTTTTACAGAACTCCACTTCTGATATATCTTTTTGATATTTTATAGTCGAAACAACTAATCAAGATGATAACGGAATAAGCGTTAGTTATCATACCATCGTACGATAGGTCTACAACATACACGTCACCAAATGTTGAGGGGATGCCTACCTTTCCCTGCAGCTCTGCGATGGTGGCATAGTAGGCGCTGTAGTCTCTGGAGGATGGGGATGACTTGCTCTCCAGGAACTGTCTGATCTTCAGCTCCAGTTCGGCGTTGGCCGCCTCCAGGTTGCGCACCTTCTCCAGGTAGGTTGCCAGACGGTCGTTGAGATTCTGCATGGTTGCCTTCTCGTTGGCGGAGATGTCAATGCAACCACCACCACCACCACCACCACCACCACCTCCACTGCCGAAGCTATACATGCCTCCACCACCTCCACCACCTCCACCTCCAGAGGTGAAGGAGTACATGGATGCCCCACCTCCTCCGCCTCCTCCACCACCACCTAAACTGAAGCCATAGGAACCTCCACCTCCACCTGCACTGCCAGAGGAGATTTTCACAGAGGAGCCTCCAGCACCGCCGTACATGGAGCCACTGGTGTAACTCCGAGATCCACCAGACTGGCTTCTAGCAGTGCGAACAAGACCAAACGACATTTTCCCTGCAAGTGAAGGAGGGATGCCTATCTGCTTCAAATTCAGAGGAGAAAGTGGAGAGCTCAGAGCGGCTGCATTTTTTTTATACAGTTTGAGGAGGTTGGAGGAGGAGTGAGGATGGCGAGCTTGTGCCAAGCCTTCGGAGGAGGAGACACCTGTCCTTGTTTAACTTGGCAGGAAGGCTAATAGCTTTGGGTGTTTCTGGGATACCCACCCATCACACTTTACATCCACCTGCATTGCCGTCGTGCCAACTCAACATCAATAGAGCTACAGGGCGAGTTCAGACATGGATGAAATTTATATCTAAAATCCCCTCCCAGCATTACAAAACCACATAAAGTATCAGTAGCAGTCATTTCCAAAACATCCTTGGATCATCTTTCACTTTTTACGAGTGCAGTGTTGGGTATCTCTTGGTTATTGAGTAGTGAAGAAGGACACTAAAGCTCTTTTGATCCTTTGTGAGCTGCCTAATCTTAAGCAAACAGATTGATTATATTCCGTGAAGAATGCAAAAGATCCTCCAAAGAGGCCTGGAAATGTGTTCCCTGCATTGAGGATTTAGAGCTTATTGCACTTAAAAGGCGCTGTGGGGTATTTTATTAAAACCATTACCAGATTAATTCAAGACTCTTAAAATCTTGTGAACAAGCTTTGCCAATAAAATGTAGTTGGTGAGCCTTAACAGGATAATAAGAATACAGTGAAGGAATTCATATTAATATGATTACTACACTTAATTTTACTTTACTTGAGTCGTTTCTTTTCATGCTTAATGTTTTTTACTACACTGCATCGTTCTAAAAACATTAGTTAGCCTGATTTACAAATTAAGATTTTAAGAAAATACAATATAATATCAAGCAACAAGTTTGCAAGCTTTCACTAATGTACATTTTAATATTAAAGTAAGTATGTTTATAGTAGTGTATAAAATATATATTATATATTAAAGGGCCCTATAATGCTCACTTTGAGGTTCCTATTTGTATTTAGTGCCTCTTCTGAGACATGTCTCCAGGCTTTAATGTTCAAAAAGCTCTTTATTTTTTCATACTGCCTGTGCTGCAGCACCTCTTTTCCCCCTCTGTATCAGATCGGATCAGAATCAATATAGATGTTTTTATTTTAAAAGTAAATTCAGATTGAACATAGTAAAAAACTGTAAATTACAGGACTGTCTCAGAAAATTTGAATATTGTGATAAAGTTCTTTATTTTCTGTAATGCAATTAAAAAAACAAAAATGTCATACATTCTGGATTCATTACAAATCAACTGAAATATTGCAAGCCTTTTATTATTTTAATATTGCTGATTATGG